CGCTGGAACTCCCGGCACACCTGCACCACCACACACGCCTCACACCAGCCCGCCGCCTCGCCGACGCCCCTCGCCATCACACATCCCCCTAACCCCCTAGCGGCCTCACTTCACGTCCACTCCAATACAAACCACGCGCCTAATGCCTTTTCTGTATATTTACATTCTTTGTGACTTATCTTACATGATGGACGACAGACTAAAGCAAATTCGCAATCTTAACTATTTAGATTATAGGAGTTACGGGATAACAACGTGGAGCGTAACAGTAAAAATTCGATCTCACCGGACGCCGCTTGGAATTAGTTGAGTTTAATATTTCGAGTTCAGATTATTTTACGCATCCGTCGCATGTTTATATGGTTTGGTTGACGTTTTCCCTAGATTATAGGTACAACAACGTCGGGAGCTACACGGTTATTAGATATTAAGCTCGTGACACTGCACTATTGATGCAAATCGATTAATTATATTGGTTTGCAAATATTACAGTTATCTAGTTACTTAAAGTGGTAGTAACAGGGAATCGTAATAACAGAAACCGATATTGCAGTAAGAGTGCATGCCTTTCTCCGGGAGGGTAAGCGAGTGCTGGTCGCGAAGCGCACGCGGGCGGGCGAGGCCAGGGCGCCCTCGCACCACAACACACGGGGACAGTTAGGGGCATCTTAGCCGAAACTCGCTAAGGAGACCGACAACATTTTTAAATGACTATTAATTGCAACTTGAACATTGGAGAAAAAAATATTACAGTTACTTGTCGGTCTCCCGCGCACGTGGCAACATCGGAAAGCACTACGCGGATCAGGGGCGAGACAGAAAAACCAATTTTGTATGCGGTATGAAGGCAGGTGTCTTGGCTTACCTCGAGGCGATCGGTGCGTGGCAGTTTCTGCTGCAGCACGGGCTGCTGCATGACGCCGAGCGGCGAGGCGGCGGCAGCAGCGGGGTCGTGGCCCAGCATGGCGGGCACCAGCTGCGGCGCATAGTACTGCGCGTACGTCGAGCCCACGCCCGGCACGCCCGACAGGTACGGCGACGTCGCCTGTGCAACACAGTAACACTACCTCAACATAATGAATCTCCATTTTATCACTATTTCCACTGTACATTTCATTCTTAAATATTCATTTGCAAGCACGATTGTCAAAAACACTACAAAAGCAACCATTACCGGTGACGCCTTACAATACAGTGTTAATTATTTTTAAATCTTTAGTTTACGTTAGCCAAAATAAGCTGTGACATGCATCTTTAGATAGATTCGAAAAATTAGTTTGGTAAATGAAGCATTACGGTATTTTGTCCGTCTAGCTGTCCACCGGCCACCACAAAAATACAGGGGATATAGGAATAAAGAGGGTGGAGAGCGGGAAGGGGCCAATGCGAGTCGAATATGTATACAGAACAAATATGCGACGTACAGAGTGATAGACGGGAAGGTGGTGGCGCTCGGTAGCCGGCGGCGCTGCGAAGCGCTCGGCGGCGGTTACCTGCGGAGCGAGCAAGGCGAGGCTGATGGGGTCCAGCGCGGCGAGGTGGCCCCCGGCCGCTCCAGCGCCGCTCACGCCGCCCACCTCGACACAAAACCACACAAACACGCTACTCATCGTGCGAGGACACCACTCCGCCCCCTTTGCGTCGCTGCGCGCACCATCCTCTCCTCCGACCTCTATTCGCCTTGCTACTCTCTCTCTATTAGTTCCTATTACAGGACGGACATGCGAGTAGCGACACCGAGGTGTGACGGGTCGCGGCTTTAGCGAAAGTGAGAACAGTGAGGAATATGACATTATCGGTGATTAAATTTGCAATACCACTTTTACCCAGTTCATACAAATGTGAGTAAGTTCGGAGAGTAGTCATGCCACTTAAGATACAAATTATACAAACATGCTCAAGCGAGTGGGGAGCGATCGGCCATCGGTGGCGGAGTTTAAGTTGTGCCTGACGATGCGACTGTCACATTTATGTCGTGCACAGATACACGATCGTATCGCCTACTTCTGATTCCTTACATGTTGCCATCTCTCGTTGTGGAACTTTAAATTAAAACGACTGAACTCTACTGCACGAGCAGTTGTATCCACTTAAATAAAGTTGATAAATGACCATTAATTTTAAACATGTTCTAAGATGACTTAGCTGTTCGGTTAATTTAGTCTCTAAAGAAAACATTGCCGAAGCATGTTACATCTCAAATGTACTAAATGACATAGTTGACGCTGAGATAGCGCGCGGCACAACTTAAACGGGATGCTTTCAAAACTCTACGTGTTTCATTAAGTAGAACGCTTAAAGGGTACAAGATAGCAAGTACACCGAAAGCTGCGTGTTGCGTGCACTGAGTACGTACCTAATGAGGACCGATCGCTCGAAGCGTTTGTTTAGAGCGAAATTGAAAGTGAGAGGAAAGCAGCAGTACTAACCACTGCCGGCACCTGGCCGGGCAGCACTTGGCCGGGGGTGAGGCCCATTTGCTGCATGAGGGCGTTCTTCAGTGCGAGGTGGTTCCGCCCGTTGATGAGCAGCTGGTCCTTGAGGTGCTGCGGCGGGTGGAAGTACTTGCAGGGCGGCTTCTCGCGATTACACCGACCCTGAAACATATAGAAATATTGGTTTAGCCACTTTTTAAAAAAAGTTTTTTACTACAAAATGATGTTTCAATAAATCCAAATACTTGAACGATCAGATAAGGAAGAAACATCTTATAAATAGTATACTTTGTTAGGAATAGGTCTGATAAGTAGATATTGATTACATTCTATTTTACCCAATTCCCAATGATCCTATCGTTTCCTCCTATTCTAACATTGGTATGTATTTATTTAATACACCTATGTCTTACAATATACGTTATATAATTGCGGGAGCGGTGCGGGCCATATTCGTTCATTTTTGGCGTAAATGAGGCGAGAGATAATTGCCTCTCTGAATCGAAACCCTCTGCCGCATCCATCTATGATGATTTATTTACATCCGCGTAATTAACTGTCGCACTACGTGACGGGAAGGGCTTCGCGGACGTTTTATCGCCGCACGCCGGCGCCTCGGTGCTATATTTTATGTTGTGAGAAAAAACTAAATAAAGTTTATCGCATTTAAAAAGAAAACATTTATGTACACAAACTGTATATAATATACTCTGCCTTCAAGATGGGGACTTTTACTGATAATGTCTTCTGGTACACTCCTAAGCCGTGCGGTGATTTATTGACTAACTTTGAGTGTATAGGTAAGGTTCAATTTTACTACAATCCAGTCACATTTATGGTTGATATATTTGATCTAAGAGATGTTTCGTTCCTACTGTTCATAAATTACAATAGAAAACTTAAGAAATATTTAATATACGTTTAGTTTCATGTTCATGGGAATAACATGAATGTGCTTCAAACTTTGCGGCATCTCCAACTCTGGTAGTCGTTTAATTCTTTATTAGTTTTCCTAATTCTTCTATAGTACATATAAAGAAACAATGGCATGTCGAGGCCGTGAGTTAGAGCAGCTGTTGAATATTTCGGAAGGTGATTATCGACGGCTCGGTGCTTTCATCTCGAGCATGACAATCGTTCAATCACTTCGACGCAGACACATGAATGACGGATTGAAACGTCTCATTGAAACATTAAAAGCAAGCAGTCTTTCGCCGGCGTATCAGAATCAGGCGATACAAATTTCGACCGTGATTAAACTTTGACGATGCATACCACTGCTGAAGGGGCGTTCGGTCGCGTTTAGATTAACTTGTTACTGGCAGGCATAATGTTAGTCGGACGGTTCTCTTGCTCTAACTAGGGACGAAGTTATTATTTCCTGGTACTCGAAGTCGTCTACTTTAACAGAGTTTCGATTCCTAGCGTTTGTGAAACTCGAATGGGTGATCACGTACTCGAATGGTAACTATGATAACTCGGTCTATCGAACTGCCATTAGTCGGCGATGGCGTTCGACAATTATGAAGTTTACGGTTCGCTATCGAATTAATGAATTCTGTCGCCAAAAGACAGAGCATTAATGACGCAACGGCGGCGGGTCAGCTCGACCCACGTGCCGGCCCACTCACGCACATTAACTATATTTTCCACGTATTGCTGCCATCTATGATGTCATGTTTCGTTATAAACGGATTAAATACACAAATAGAAGTGGTCAGAAAACCACAACAGCAATTGTAAGAACTTTGAGGAAAGTAAAAACTATGAGATATCGCCTGACCAGAATCTTCTAACAAACCATACAAATTAAATAAATTGGTAAGTTTATAGATATGCATTAAAAATAATAAGTGTAGCTTTAAATTAATTGCATGAAAATTATTTTGATGCCGACGAATTTAACTGGGGTGTCGATCGAATATAACGATTGCATTAAGAGCCATTAATGCTCACAACACATGATTTGTCGATTACACATATAACGCTTAACGACCGTCTAAAACTACTGAACACTAATGAAATATTAAAAGTCAATACTAGTAGTTATTTAATTACCATCTTATACCCGAAAGTAATAACATATTTTTTATTAGAGTGACGGTAACCTTCGACTACTAATTTCAAATGAACAACAATGAACTGGCTATTTAGTGAAAGAACGACGGTGTCAGGGTTGGCGCGGTCAGAGAATTTAGAAGGCCAGATTGAAGGGATATATTTGTTTTAGAAGCGTGCTCATTATTAAAGGCTGCACGTTGAACTGTGTCCAGGTAACGGATATCAGGAGCATGCAGGTATAGCGATTAGCGTGACGGATGCTTGCGCCGATACAAATGGCCTCGTCGCCGAGACGGATGGCCGCCCTCTCTCAGCCTCTATTATCACATTAATTGCAAGCCGATCACTTCTATCCGATCGCTTTTGCGTCAATGCAGCTGCATCTGTTTTACCTTAATCTACATAAGCTTTGCAGTTTACATTGACGTTTGCATTTTTGGCGCAGATGGCATTTTAAGTCCTTTCATTTCTTCTAACACAGCAATGTAGCATTTAATAAAAACATCACGAAGTGTACCATACGACTTAAAATATCTAAAATTATCTCTCATAGTGCTAACAAAACAAGTACAAACGATAGTGTATTACGATTGAAAAAAGTTTAGGAAAGATAGGGAGAAGTTTGCAAATAATGTGGGGAGTGCAGAGGGTTGAGTGGTCGCGGGTGGGCAATAACCGGCCAAAACTAATAACATTTTTGTGATAGTGCGGAGCAAACCGAGCGCGCTTTCCTCGCCCTGTCCTTTATCACACAACAATGCACACTTGCAGCACAAAAGGAGTTATGTCAGGAGGCGGCTTCTTCTTATCGTCGATTTTATTTTTGTACACAAAGATTTGAACTTGTATGTCCAAGCGGTGTCGGATTATGTCTGGAGTAAGCAAAATCGACAAAACCAGGTACAAAACGACAGGAGGGAATATGTCTCGTCGACTCGAGTTATCCGGAGAGTGCACTCGGCAACTGTAACGCGCATAACGAACGGCCCTCGAGTGCGGCGGAGTCGCCGTAGTCTACGGGCTTACACTACCTTTCTATTTCTAATTTCATCCTTTCTCCATTTTGCCGTCGTGTCTATTATCCAAATTATTTCATGCATAAGTATGAAATAGGTATGAAGTGCAGTAATCAATTCCGTTCATCTACACATAATCGTTATCAATCGAGCGCGACGATATTGGATTTGCAGTATTGTATATGCATGGAAACGTATAAATCAAATAGGATATCGAGAATACGTGCCGAGTGAGGTATGCCGGTCGCTAATCGATCTATCGATCACATCTGATGTATTGGCGACGCGCCGTCGACAGAGTGCGGTCAGCGTAACGCGCGCGCTATGCCGTACTAGACTATTTCACTATTGGCCGACCCCACACGCGCCGCGACAAATCGACACGCGAGGAAAACAATGGGCGAATGATTCGATGAATGACACGATCACGCCGCACCACCGCACTCCGGACCCACTTGTACGCACCCGCGCGTGTGCCGCTGCCAAAAATGTTCGTGATGTCAAACGCGGACGGGAATAGAAGCGACCGGTGAGACGTGCCAACTCCACCTGTATATAAATAAATGCAAAGACTCCGTATACCATCACAGATGCTTAAAATTATTTGAGACACGTGCCACAGCTTTACAGCTTTTTATTTAATCAATAAAAGATATTAGTTGGACAGAGATAAAAGTGTTTGAGAATAAACGTTTCTTTTTTCACAAATGAGGTATAACATAAGACATAGCCGTATTTAACCAATTAGATTTGTAATAAAAATGGTGTGTTTATAATAATAAACAATATTTCAGTTTTTAATAATGCCTAAGAAAATATAACAAATAAAAAGGCAACATGATCTCCAACTGATTCCGGATGCCACAAATGATTTTTTTGACAAGGCGAAACGAGGGAAACGTGAAATCTAATTTGCTAAATTTTGCGGCCGGGGCGGGAATTAGGTAAGTAAAGTCAATTCTGAATGTTAGTAGAATTTGAATTTAAAATGATTTATAGAAGACCGGGGGAGTATCTAATGAGCCGTCACGCGAGAGGGGCTTGTGTTTACGCCTCGCGCTGCCCACACTTTTTATTCGGTCCCTTCTTTAGCAAGCGTTCGGCGCTCACTGTCCAGCTCCTGCGTCGTTCGCGGTACGAGTCCAATATCGTCTGCTCGTCTGTTCGTCTGATCACGCTCTGCTACTAAATTGCAAATATTTATTTTGAACATTGAGAAAAGAAAGCAAGCCTGCCGGAAAAAACACAATTTTGAAGAAGCTTTAAACTAAGAATTATTCACTCTGGTGAAGTTTCCAACAAGTTTGCACCGCGGTGCCGTAGCTTAACGTTAAAATATGCATTCGTGCGCGGAGTTATCTCGGCCACTTCTGCCGCCCGCCGCCGTGAGCCGTCGCCGGCCGGTCAGCCGTTGTTTATCCCGGCTTTAATATTAGTTGCCCACTTTTAAACGCTAATCTCGAGACGCAAACAATCCGCTGCTATCATATACGGCGGCACGGAATTTATTCATTTTGCTTTTATGTGGCGCACGCTCGTGCAAATTTACTTTAATGTTTTAAAATAGCTTTCAAGAAATTTTCGGGAAAAATAAAAGATGAGTGGCGTTAAGCAATATTATTCTAAGGTGGATGGTCAGGACGGTGTTTTAGATGGAAATAAAGCGAGGAGAAGCTAAGTGCGGGGGCAGGGCAGAGGCGGCGACTGTGAGATTAATGCAACGGAAGCAGGCTCGGCCTCTCCAGGTGTTTCATTAAATCGCGCGCGGCGCCTCGGCCGCTCGCACGGCCATTATGAAAGCTGCAAGCTCGAGGGCCATTCGCTTTAAGAACGCCCGCGCCACTTTGTAACGGCCTTAATGAACCTTGTTACTTATAGGCTCACGTAAATTGCCTGTTTTGCTAGGGTTCAGACTTGTCGAGAAAAATCATCGGGTCAGCGAACATTCGACACACAAATCGCTTTTGGAATCAATGTATAGTAACTACTTTTAACAATTCAGTGTCAAATAACAGGCGAAAACTAATACATTAAATATTATTTTTGCGGATATTGCATTGCGGATGCATTTTAATAACGACAGTC